GCTGCCGTGGTAGAATTCTGGCCATCACAGAGGACAGTCACCACCCCAGGCATAATTATGCTCTTAACACCATTGCCCTCAGGCAGGAGATACAAGAGCATATGGACACTTATCACTAGATTCTTCAATAGCTTCTACCCACAAGCAGTGCGATTGGCAAACACATTTGGCCATGCCCCTCCGACCACACCTACACCATCTACCTCATTGTAATTTTATTTATTGCACATCTGCAGTAATAGTTTACATGTCTGCATTGTTTACATTCAAACTGTTTGCTTGTACATTGTCTACAATTGATTGTCATCAATTTCCCTTCGGGATCAATAAAGTTTTATCTATCTACTCTTTGTTTGTATTGTAGCACTCTCGCCTGGCGTTGTGGCCTGAAGAGCGCCCGGCTGGGGTGCGCAGCGAGGGGCAGGACGGGAGTACTGGTGGCCAGGGTGGGGACTAGGAGAGCCACTGACCAGTGCAGCTGACCAATTGTGGAACTGGTGTACACAGTCGCAAGATCGCCCGGACTCATGTAGTTTCCCTGGATTTGCACCCCTTTTATACATGTACCCCATTTCCACCTTATACCTGTGTAACTGTACCTGAATTGACCCCAGTGTGTTGTAGCCTGTTTGTCTGTCTGGCTCTCTCTCTTTCCACCCCTGTTGTGGTTGCTGTGCCAGACGCACATTCGATAAATAAAGCGCTGTGTTCTCAGTTAACAAGAGCCTGAATTCCTCTCTCCGTCCTAGCCAAACCCATCGCATTAGAGTATATTGTCTTGATGCACTGTCTGCACTCTGTGTTTTACACTTTTTTTTAACAATCGAGAGACTTTCTGTAAGAATTCCATTGTACCAGTACATGTATCGGTTACATATGGCAATAAAGTTCAAGTTCAAACTCAATGCAGATAGCATCCCAGAAATTGAACCCAGGTCTCCCGCACTGAAAGCAGCAATGTTAAACACTGCACCACAATACCACCCTAGCAACAATATATTTTTATAATATCATGACCACAAATGTACCCTATATTCTAAATGAGGTCTTAGTAGAGTATCTGAAAATATGAATATAACATCCCTTGATTTGAATTCAATGACTTTTTACAATATATTCTAACATTGATTTGCTTTTCTATTGCATCCTCACATAGTCTAGATGAGAGTGTGAATATACTGTACTGTATAAACACAATACAATAAGTATTGATCCTCTTTGGGTCAATTGTTTTGCTGAATAATGACCTGACACTCCAGGTTATGTCAACCTTATTTTTTTTTGCCACTGTGTTTTTGTTGTGGCGATATTATGTGTGCACTTGAGAGCACTGTGATGTTTACACAATCAGAGGAGTCATTGCATCCCCACACGTATCATACAGAGCTGTGTGATACATGATAATAAAGTAAGAGCCCACACTGAGAGAATCTTTGGGATTTTAAAACAGCTCTTTGCTTGTCTATAATTTGGTCTATGTACAGTACCCGTCCAGTACAAGCCAGCAGCATCACTGCATCACACACTGTCCTCCACAATCTTTCTAAGGGTTTGGAGGAGTCACCTGTTCCATCTCTAAGAGACACATTCTGTGTAACTATCTGGTTTGCCTTAAGAGCAGTTTACGTCCCTCTACAGAATAAGTATCTCAATCTATATCTCAGAAGTCGGTAACTCACTCATATACAGTACCTCCCGAGAATGGACTGTGCCTTTTTCCACTTCCCCTCTGGATCACCCCTTTCCTGCTTTTTTCACCCCTATAAAAGGACTGAGAGACCACCGCTCTCTCTTTTTTATTGCCTGGGACTTTCTGAAGAGCAGCACCTGTCTTTCTCTCCCTCTTCTCCTTGCTTTTACTCTCTATGATTAGCATGCCCTTCTGTAATAATAAGGGAATAAGGGTACCAGATCTTCTCCGAAAATTTTTTTTCAGAAACTCCGGGGTGCCTGGAGGTCGCGGTGTACCACGCGAAAGTTGTATTCCAAAACTGAGTCACTCAGATCACACGAGTACCCAAGCATGCTTGAAACTCATTCAAATGCAAGTGCTTCTATCTGTTGTCTTGATTGTTTCCCAATCATTCCTTTTGATTTGGGTAACATGTCAAAATCCTATGCCCAGAGAACTTCAAGTAGAGTTCGCGGAAATGCTCAGTGGACACCCCAGGTAGGGTAAGGATCACGAGAACTGCCCCCTTGACTCCTTGCTTCCACAAACTGCCTCAAATGCTCTGTACAGTCCCTCTCTCCATGTTCTCCCTGTGATCATGGGAAAATTGGCCCTGCCTTGTGATGGACTGATGTCCTGTCCTGGGTATATGCTGCCATGTGCTCTTTGCTGGCTGGGATAGGCTCTGACTTTCCTTTGACCATATAAAAACATATGGATGATTAGCAAGACCTGTACTTACTTAGTCCTGAATGTGATATCATTACAGCAGCTGTTACTTTGGGTAAATGAGAACATTTTAGTATGGAGCTGGAGACTGATTTCAGCAGGCATGTTTGTTGCATTTAACATGCTAGCTTAGTACTGTAACGCATATGGCCACCATTGGTTGTGACAGCCGGCTTACCACAGCGGTGACGTCACCGCCCTCCTCTGTGGATGGCAGGGGCTGCAGCCGCTGGGTTGACAGGAGATTTCCCTTTGGCTCAAGAGGCTGGGTCCCTATTGAGTGATGCCGGAGGCCCAGTTTCGAGTCCCCGATGGTGAGGGGCTGACCTCGTGAACCCCGTAGCATTACAGTACAGAACAGCGTATTACCACTCATCCCTAGTTAATAGGCTGCATTCAGTGACCCAGTATACGATAAAATTCTTTATAATGTATATTTATGTGCTGTTCTTCTTACAACAAAAATGAGAAACTTTTTACAGTTTACTTAATTGGAGATGAACAAATGTTAGCTATTAAATATAATGTTTACACTAACAAAAAAGTAATGGACTTTAGTCGGGAAACAGTTATCATAAAACACGAATACCTCATTTAC